CGTCGTCATGTTTTTTTTCTGTGTTATGTTTTTGGCAGACAGTGACGTTCTTTTTTTGTAACTTTGGTCCATGGCCTGGATATAAGGAAAAACATCCGTTGACAAGGTGTGTCGCACAACCCGAAAGTGCTTACGCTTACGTTCGCGACACGCATTTAGCAGCGAAATCTTTCTTACAGCCAATCACCCTCCGTGGATGGTATCATATGTGCCGCGTCATCGCTTTTGCGAATGTATCAGCGACCATGCCGTTCTTGACCATAAGCAGAAAACAGCCTGTAATATCACGGCGATCGTATGACGTTTCTATGACATCATTGCGGAGGCGGCTTTGAAATAACCCCTAAATAAACGTTTTGTCACTTTGGCAGGCGTATAACTCAGGAACCAGAGGGCTTTGGATCTCAAAAAGGGCATGGCCGTGAACTGCATCAAAAGGTCCTCAAAATGGCTATTTGAGCTCAAAACCCCATATAAAAGTGGAACATCCCTTTAAGTGAGCGGACGAGTCAATCCGTTAATACAAAACGAACCAATATTAATTCAAACCAGAATTACCCTTACGCCATGGCAAGGCATAAAGTGAACAAAACTGATCAAAATGACCACCACGACCACAAGAATCACCACGACCGTGTGAGGGGGAGAGCGGCGACTATGTGTTAAGGGGGAGAGGGTCAGCGCAGGGGCCATCCGGCCGGCATACATCCGGCGGCGCGAGAGGACCGCAGTCTTCCCCCCATCGGGCTGGGAAAGAGGTCCCTGGCCGTTCGCTCACGGCCGCGGTTTACATGGCGTGGTACACGGTCACCGTCTGACGTCAGGATCAAACGGGGCCGGTCCGTTTTGAGAAAGAGACCCTTGTGGTCCTACACGTGGTGGTCGAGAGATATTATTACAATGTCGCCGTTCCTAAAACAGTCGTACACAATCATGCAAAGGGCAGATGCACTCGCATCGCGCAGCTGTGACTAAGATCACTGACAGGGATTGGTACACTAGTTGTCATGTTATCTAAAATCCGTAATGATGGTTTTCTAAGGCTTGAGTAGAATGGCCGTGTTAGACCCGAGCACATTGGATGGCTTACAGCATCAATAACGTGTTAATTTGACGACCTGAAACTTATCGTTTCTCACGCCGAATCGTGTGCTGACTTATTATGGTTTAAGCCGTAACATACACTTTTGTTAACATCCCCGTTGGTCAAAATCTAGCTATTCAATTGGCATAGTTTGTTAATAGATGTCTGTTCGCATAGCCTATGATTGATCTTACCACGATATTGCTGCCACTGTGCTCCGGGCCTCCAGCTTCGCCGCAGGTGTGCGTCTGAACGGGTCCGAGCGGGGTGATCTCCACGGTGATGCTACAGCGGTGGTTTGTTCAGCCCGGCTCGCCCTGCCAGGCGCGCGTCCGAGCGGCGTGACCTCCACGGTGATGTTACAGCCGTGATTTATTCAGCCCGGATTGCCCTGCCAGGCGCGCGTCAGAGCGGCTTGACCTCCACGGTGGTTTTGCAGCGGTGCCTGGCCAAACAACCGTGGAGCCATGCCGCAGGATGCAGTCCTGCGTTTCCCGCTAGGCCAAGCGTGCCCGCGGGCATGGGCCGCTTCAGAGTCGGGTTTTGGTAAAAAGTGGGTCGCCTTCTTTTCGTGGCGGCCTCGGTCGCGGCGCGGCGGTCAAAAGCAGGTCGCACCGTCCTCGGAGGCACCCTGGTGTACCCAAAACGCTGCGATGCGCTAAAGGGTGCATCGGTCAGCTACGGTGGGCCCGCTCCGCTGAGTCTCCGGAGCGCACTGTTCTCACTCAAGAGCATTGGTCGAAACATGCTTGAATTTGACTGTTAGAAAATGTTTGCGATCAAGGAATTTGACTTCCCGTCACACTGCTTAAGATTTTGTTTGTCACTCGCTCATGGTTTTCTTGTCGTATTTGTGTCAGATGTGTCTGTTTTGCACAGCCTCCACGTAGTGCATCAGATCACTGACACGTAACTCACTTAACCTGTCAGTGGTGCCATCTGATCACAGTTCCACACAGTTCCACACAGAATTGGTGTCTGTTGACCACATTGCTGGGCTGCGAACCTGAGCTCAGTTTTCTAGCCGAAAGGGATATCCAGCCTGACCTCGGTGGTTTGGTTCTGCCTCAGCGATCCGCCGGTCATTTATTATAAGAGCAGCCAAGGAGCAAGGAGCCCAGACCATCACTAGGCCCCTTGTTTTATTATTTTCTGTCACAGATGGCTCCGGACAGAAAGTCTAACTGTAGCGGCGTGCGTTCTCACTGAGCTCCACCCCTTTAAAAATCCTGTGTGCTCTTCCGCCGATGGCTGATCTGGTCCGACATCTCAGTTATAGGATGGTTAGCAAACTACCTTTTCCGTTTTTCACTATCCGATGGCGTGATTTGCCCTCGCGTTGTGAAGACAGCTTTGTGTTCGTTATCACACATATATTCACTTTCAAATGGAACCTGCGATTTTGCTCAGATTCATGCCAACTGCAGTGCTCGATATGCTGATTAGGATGGTGATGCTTCTCGTTTCCCACCAAGGTCACTGAACTCTGATGCCTACAATGCTTCTGAGGCTCATTTCAATGATAAAGCTTGAGATGCTGATTACGATTGTGCATTTCGTTTCGAGCCACAATCAAAACTGTCGCCCTCAGAAGTGCGCGAGGTTCAAGGTTTTTGCAACCGGACCCCCACGGTCTTTTTTTAATTCACAGCAATGACAGTGCATAACGTGCTGATTGCGATGGTGCATTTCATTTTGAGCCACATTAAAGATTATGATTGCCACAGATTATACGGTCATCGAACCCGAATTTCACGTTGCTGCTCATATTCATACCAATAGCAATGCTTGACGTGTTGATTAGGATGGCTCTCTTCGTTTCCCGCCTCATTCAAAATTATGACCTCTAAGGTCTATAAGCTTCAATTTTTTCTGGTGATGTTCGGTATGCTGATTATGATGGTGCATCCTGTTTCGTGCCATGTTTAAATTATGATTCCTGAAGACCTGCAAGCTCCAAAAGTAATCAAAACCAGCCCCCACGCTTTTTCTCAAAGTTATATCAAGGCCGAAGTTTGACATACTGATTACGATGACACCTTTCGCACCGAGCCACCATATGACTTGAAGTACTCTACAAAGCTCAAAATTATTGAACCCGGACCCCTACAATATTCTGAAACTCATCAAAGACGTGCTTTGACTTTCACGTAACTAGAATGTCAAGAATTACTATTGATAAGGGTATGGAAAAAGTAGGGGCTCTGGTTCGATAACTTTGAGCTTTTTACATTTGTGGAGGCATCAACTTTGAATGTGAGTCGAAACGAGATGCGCCATCGTAATCAGCATCGGTCTCAGTCAGCATGTCAAACACAACCATTGCTACCAATTTCAGAAAAATGACAGGCTTCCAAGTTCGACGCCTTAAACTTCACTGACCTCTGGAGTTCGTAGTTTTAAATATGACGGGAAAGGAGGAGAGCCATCATAATCAACATTGATCAACATAACCGGCATAATCAGCACGAGTCTGAGCAAAATCGTGGGATCTGTTTCTAACACGCGCCCGGGTGGCCGGCTGGGTACCCTTCACTCGGGCGGGTGTCAATTTGACCCCCGTGAGATCTCAGGAGCTAAGAAAGCTAGAGACACCAAATTGACAGGGTGTATTGATTTGTACACGAACTCACTTAGGTCAAGGTTTGAGGTTCCTAGGTTGTGAGCTTTGGTTCAAATAAGGTCAAAGGAGGTTAAATTCCAGTTCGGTCTCCAAAGTGCCCCAGAACCTCGATAACTGCTTCTAAGCAAAAGGTCACACGCTCCTGTAAGGTCAGTGGACCTTGTTTGAAGGTCATCACTTTTGAAGGTCATGGTGACCAAAAGCATACAAGACTGCTTTGAGTTTTGTATTTGAATAAGCGACAAAAATTACGCTGGGCAGTATGCTACTAAAAACAAAGTTTTGACCAGGTTCAATTTAGGGCAATAACCTTTTCTGACCTCTAAGAAATCCATGAAAGATGTATAATGCGGTTCATGCTATCAATGAACTCGAAATGGGCATCAGAAGCTTCTCCATACAGCAAGGCCTAGTGTACTAAAACAGGTTGGTTTTGACCTTGGTCTGATCTTCATACCTGACCTTAGGTCAACGTAACTTGCTCATTCAATTGCTGTGTTGCCTAAGAAAGCATCTCGGAGGTGTATGGCTTTGTTTAACACTCCGTTGTCGCATCAGATTAAACGATTCCATGGAAACTGACTTCGCTGAAAACATGGCCTGACTTTGACCTGCTATAAGTTAACGACATTACAAGACACATCAATTTTTGATGCGAAACGATCCGTTATTCAATTGTCTACAGCTATGCAAAAGGTAGCGCGGCCACGCCACGCCGTTCGAAAACCATTCTGGAAAAACCTTCCCGGGGGGGGGACAATTTGACCCCCATCCGAGTGCGTGTTAAGGTGAATATAAATGCGAACACGACTACGAAGCTGTCGTGACTGACGTTTTGCCCTGTCATGAGACGTTGTCTAGCCTAACCTGGAGTCATGATGCAACCATAAAGCGGTACCCGATCCCAGTTTTTAAAATCTTCAACGGTTCCTGACCCCACCCGTAATCCCCTCAGCTGGGCTTGAGCGCACTTCTTGTCCCTGTAACTGTATTTGATTCCTACGTTTCATCCCCATAAAGATTTCGTGCAGTATACGTCATCCATAAAAAACCGATGCCTGGCTGCGTTCGTAATCCTAGTAGCAGTGCCTGATTACACCCGTAAACTCCGCATCATATCCTCGACCAAGGACAAGACCAATAGCAAAGAAATGTGGAGAAAGCCAACCGCCCGGATACCAAACGTAAGGCGAGCAAAACCCCTTTTCCGCCTCCACGGGTGAGCCATGACGCATTGCCCCACCCCCCATCCTCCTTGGATCGGTCAGTGAGAGCTACCCTCCTGTCCCGCAGTGGTCACTGGTCTGCGAGCGGACAAAGAATGTATACCTGCTGCAGTCGCTCTTCATGGTCGGCATGATGGTTGGCGCTCCCCTGATCAGCCCCCTGGCAGACATGTTCGGCCGACGCCGGGTCGTCCTGGTTACCTTCGGTCTGCAGGCGCTGCTGGTGGCCGCCCTGGTCGTCGTCCCCAACTACGCCACGTTCGCCGTGCTGAGGTGCGGCGACGCGCTCCCGGGTCTTCTGGGTGATGGTGTGGGGGCAGACGCAGCAGGACAGAGGATGAGAAGGGGTGGCGGCAGCAGTCTTTGCATGGTGATGGGCGTTGGCATGAGCCATGGTTTGTGTGCAAAAAGATTGGGGGTCACGCGGGTTTGGGTTCTCTGGGACTTGTTATCATGTTGTGTATGGCAGTGATGTTAGTGGTTAGTTCTTATGCGCACCCTGCTGGGATGAGTCGGAGATTTTACCATATATTGTACGTATTGTCGAAAGTAATGGTGATATTTTACGGAATTGATAAGACCAAACGTATGTCATCCCTGAGTCGATAAAAACTGATATATCCACGCAACGGCCCTTGGTAAATTTTGGATGGGGAAGCGAAAGTGTTTCAGTGAAGTGCTACCTCTAATTCCGTGGTTACTGTGATCACTCGGATCGTGTCACAGGGTCTTCTTGTCAGGTGCAACCCCATGTAGGCTTAGTTGTCACGCCCTGAGCCTGGGCTGCGCTGCTCTTATATCTCAAGCTGCCCGCCTCCAGCTTTCCAACCCGTACGGCCTTGCAGCACGGTCCTTTGACACGTTCTCATCCGAAGGCCTATTGCCCCAACCTTTCGTCGGTGCCTGCTACCGTCACCCCATGCGACGCTGCACCTGACCTCGCGACAGGCTCCTCTGCGCTCTGGAGGTGCGCGTGTTCTGCCCTCCTGACCCGTGCGATCCTGCGCCCTCTGAGTATGCCCGACACCGATCCCTAACCTGTTCGACCTCATGGCAGGTTCCTGAGCGGTTTCCTGGGAGTGGGCGGCCTGCCGTGCTTCACGCTGTGCTCGGAACTGGTGAGGCCACAGTACCGGTGTCGCGGCGGTCTTTTGGGCTCCATCTTCTACTCCACCGGCATTCAGATGCTGGCACTCAGCGCCTACGTCATCCCCCAGTGGCGTCTTCTCGTGCTGACTTCGGCCGCCCTCGGCAGCACCTCCGTGCTCGTGCTATGGCTGTGAGTCGGGCAGGGGTGGGTGGGTAGGTAGGTTGACTAATTTTGCATTGGAGATGTCACATATATTTTGCCCATGCTCTAGCCAGAGTCTTCAGCTGTCTCAGCTGCACCCTGCTTCATGCGCTGCAAGTTAAAGCGGGCAAATCGGAAGTTGGTCTTGGGGTGAAATGGGTTGCAGAGCATTACGTCGGCAAACCTTTGGGTTCTTCCGTTCAGGTTACGTCAAGTCAAAGGTGTAAACGGAGGCTACTGATCGATGCCTCTTGAGAAGAACTAAGAAGGCTGGCTGTGATTTACAGCCATAGCATCACATGTGCATATGCAGGCAAAGTGATGACGAACCTTTCTGGCATGTCTATAGTATCGTTACGATCGGCTACACGCCAATGAAAAGAACAATCACCGTTGATTAATGTGTCAGACTGATGGTGCACTTGACGAACGCCATGAAAAAACGACAAAGAAAGCTAGCAAAGGGTGTCCAGCTTCTTCCTGGCAATGTGCTGGTTCACATGATCCGAGTTATGCAAACCCCTATTTACAACTGCAACCGCCATTTGCAATCGTGGTTTTCAAGAACTGTAGTACACGGCCCATAGTCCGGACCTGGCCGCAAGTAACCTTAACTTATCAAACTATCATTTCCAGCTTGTGCAAGTTGCATCTGTGATGAAGGAGGGAATCTTATGATCAGTCTCTGTGCGTGCACATCTGTTAAGCAGTGGCTGGAAAGCCGGCCTTGTGAGTTCCCTTGTCCGAATTTTTAACAGCCCATGTACACCTCGATATTAGTAAGGGACGTTTGCTTGCTACCTTCACTGTTCCGGTTATGAGTGTATTGATGGCAGCAGGCGTGCCAAAGGTCTCTACCCTCCTCACCATCCAGGTCCCCGATCCTGCAGCCAGAGGCCAGCTCCCGCTGTCCTCAGTGATCCCTGTTGTAGCCTCCACGGCGTGCCCGCCAGCTCCCTCTGGCGTCGCCGGTTCCCACCCCCGCTGTCACCTCCCATTTGGTGATCGTCCCGCCCTTGTCGCCAGCTTTGTGCCCGCCAGCCCGCGGTGGCTACTGCTCAAGGGTCGCACCCAGGAGGCGCAAAATATCATGCTGGGCGTGGCGCGCGCCAACGGAGTGACGCCTCCGGTCAGCTTTACGCTGGTGGCCACGAGGAAGGAGACCACTAGCTCGCCTGACAACTGCTGCTCGCTGTTCCGACACTGGCGCGCCGCTCTCTGGACGGTGGTGCTCTGCTTCAGCTGGTACGCTACGTCCGTCGGCCGGCCGTGACGCCAGACCATTTTTGGACGTGATGAGTACAAGGGAAAATAATGCCGCCGCACCGGGACAAATCCAGCGCCCCCCCCCCCCCCCCCCTGTTCCCACCTCTCCCGCCAATCATAGCGGTTGTAGCCGGTGGCGAATCCGGAGGGGCCACCGACCAGTGCTATAACGGGTGCCGAATGCTCGCCAGCCGAACAGGTGCCCAGCCGAACGCTTGCAGGTTTTTTATATAAAGCGGAAATAGTCAGACGTCTTCGGTTTCCTGTCAACCAGGAAAAGCCAGGAGCAAAGATGAAGGGTCAATGAGAAACAAATATGATGTCTACTGATCAAAAGGGTCATGGATGGAAATATTTTCGAGTTTATTATGCCGTCCAGAGGTCATGCACTGTTGTTGGGTGTCCTACATGTTAACTCGCACAGGCACCCTCGACCGGCCAGGGGCCTTCTACACTGCTGTTGAGCTCTTCGTGTTTGCTCGGAGGGCGCTAACCTGATGTTTCTGCTAAGCTAAGCTGATGCTGATGCTCTATGTTAGCCGGCCGGGGCTCGCTCCACCGCTGAGGGGCCTTTCGCAGATTCTTCCCACTCGCCCGCAATAATTGATATGCTGTTGCCAGGGCCCCATATGTGAACCTGCCGGGACACTCTCGGTGGTTCAGGGCCCTTCACAGTCTTTCCACCTGTTCGGAAGGCCCTGTGCTGTTGCTCGGGACCATATAAAAGCTGGTGTGCCGAGACACTCGATACTCGGCGACATGCACATTGGCCTAAGGCCCTTTCCATTTGATACTATCGGCGGAGGACCTTATACTCCTGTCGGGGGGGGGGGGGGGGGGGGCACGGACATCCTTGTTCACTCAAGGTCTCGCCTGCTTGGAATTGGATGCTTCTGATTTGCTCAGAGAGCCCTGCAGCTATTTCTGGAGCAAATACATGCTGATCTATCAAAACAATATCGATCTCTCAGCGGCCCGCTGCATTGGTTCTCCTTCAGCGTTTCGTCACGTGTGGTGTTTCGCCCGCTATCGGGCGTAGAGAGTTGGTGATGGCGTCATTGTCAGTATATGGTACGCTCATATTTATTTATCGTGACTTGATGTGACAATGCTGTAGATAAATTATTTACCTAAATCGTAAAGATCCATCACGGCCGACCAAGGTACAAGTTTTCTTCAGTTTTTGTAAATGATCTTTCCACTCAAGACGTTTTCCAAGGTATCATGAGATCAGTCGTTTAAACCGAAAATGTCTTGCATTTCATTCCGCCCATGGAAGAGTTTATATACCACTCATGAGAGCAACAGTAATAACCAGTGCCTGCGTGCTTGCTTCACTAAGCGATGGAGTGTCTGTGGACGATTTGCGCATGCATGATTTCGTGATCCTTTCAACATCATTCATGGGATTCCCTGTCCGACCCGACCTCGGGCAGCCCTGTTGTCTGACGGGAACCGTCTGCGACGTGCTGAGCGCCAGGGATGTTCGAATGTTGCCCTTCAGATTTCGACTACGGTTGGAGCTTTGCTATGCATTCCAAAAGATCAAGAAAACCACACTTGCTACCACTGCAAACGTCACACCTCCCGTGGGTATTCACCCCATGTGGGTGAATCACTAAAATATTGGCTCAAACAGTGTCATGGAACAAATAGTGGTCGCTGGCCATACTTCCGCGAAGCTCATATCCCTGTCCTGGAAGAAGGTCATTATGCAGAGTACGGAATTGTTGTCAATAGTGTTTGAAGCAGAAAATAGCATAGACTGAGGGGAAGCATTAAATATTACCTAAATCAAATGCGTGCATAGCTCGTACAGGTGCAATATTCTGCAATCTTGAGACACCGAACCCCAGCAACAAACAACGGCCGTGACACGTTATCCAAGGCAAAGGGCTGCGGTCATCTTAGGTCTGCTTTCCAAGTCGGAGTCAACAAATGCGAAGCTTCCAATGAATATTCCCCAAATGTCTCTTGCATTTTGCGACTTGTTATGCACTCCGGAGGCTTCGATAAAATGTCCTGGCCAACGTTGCCAGCTATAGAACGGCGACCACTCAGGAGCGGTGCTGCGATCTTTCTGCACTTCCGCACTGTGCAGAGACGCTAAAAATGCGAACATTAAAATGTGGTCCTGTTTTCCTGTTACAACTTATTTCGATAGGCGCTAAGCCAAAATCAATCGTCGGCCACAAATTTTGCGACCTACTCTTCACTTTATCTATGTAGATTGCTTGAATTTGTTCATGTAATTAAAAACATGGCATCGTCTCTTAATGTTACCTTGCCATCGGATTGTCACATTGCATGATCAGTACAATGACCTGCAAAGGGCTGCAATGATGCCTGTCGGTGATACCGTAAATCGAATCTTCCGCCTGCGTGGAATGAATGAATTCAAGATGAAATACAGGTGACTGTTGGGGATCACAGCACGTGCGCTTTCCATGGTTTTACTCGAATGACTCGGTGGTGGCGACAAGACAATCGATCGGTGGCATTTTATCATCGCCAAGAACGAAATTGGAAGCCTATAGGCATACTCGATATTTGAAAAGAGGAGCGCATAGAATGATTGAAAATTAGATGACAAGCACGGCCAATAAATACGTGCATGCGATCAAGCCAATTTTGGAAAGATCCTTGCGATGGTTCCAACGCCAGCGTGTCACATTCGATACCATTTTTTAAAGTGCCGACATGCCCGGCTTGCGCGATGATAGCTGGAGCAAAGGTGCATCGCACCGTCTCGAGGTGGCTACATGCATTGCAGACGGTACGCTCGTCAACACTTTGAAATTGGATCCACGCCTCCACTGGCTTTGGTTGCCGAGGTGTTTCATAACACGTGAAAAACGAGAAAATGTCTTGACCGCAGCTGGGCACGTGACGCATGGTGTATGGCGCGTGCGACGTCACACGTAAAATCACGTGATACATTGTTCAATTTTCTATCGAAGCAGGTTTATTTCGAGTCGCTCCAACCTGCAGTTGCCGAGATGCGGCCACGGTCTCGAACGACCGCTTACCGGCTTTGGCGCTGGTCGGGGCTTTGGCCGCCCATGCAAAACTACTCGGCCAAAAAAGCAACTTGCAACATGCGCGGCGCACCAACCGTTGATTGCAACGGCACGAAACTTGGTGTGGCACGTCGGCCCATGCGCACGTGCACCGTATCAAATCCCCACTTTTAGGCGGCCCGGCGTTCGCCCTGCACACGCTTCAGTGAGCAAAGACGAGAGACAGACAAACAGACAGGCAAACAGACAGACAGACAGACAGACAGACAGACAGACAGACAGACAGACAGACAGACAGACAGACAGACAGACAGACAGACAGACAAACAGACAGACAGACAGACAGACAGACAGACAGACAGACAGACAGACAGACAGACAGACATATCCTACCTATATAGTTTGTCGCGCCTTCGTCGCGACAAAACAGTGCTGTGTATCCTGCTATTTTTGGTCGGGTGCAGGACCTGACTACATACCTTCAAATGCATATGCGCGAGATCTACATGACGATCTTTCAACTTTGCCGCAGAAAGCCGCAACTGCCCATGCTCATTACCAATTTCCGTGCAAGGCCGAAGGTAAATTTACGAAACCGTAACGACATATGTCATCCTTTTCCTCGGTTACTGAATATGTGGCACTCATTTTACTTACGTATCACATTATAAACGCAGCTCGAAAGTTGGGAAATTTCGAACTCCTGCATTTTAGTACCCATGTGCAGCAAAACATTTACTTCTCCACGAGGTAACGACACACAAACAATTTTTTTAACACGAGCTCGGATGCGAGTCAATTTGACCCCCTCCAAAGGTTTTTCTGGAACAGTTTCCGAACGGCGCTGCGTAGCTGTGCCAAGTTGTGCGTAGTTGTAGACAACTGAATAGCAGATCGTTAGGTATCAACAATTTAGGTATGCCTTGTAAGGTCACTGAGCTATGGCATGTCAAAGTCAGGCCATGATAAAAGTGAAGATTCAGCGAATACAATTTCAAGGGAATATTTCAATCTGATGTAACAACAGAGTGTGAGACAAAGTCACACATCTCTGTGGTAGTTTCAGAGGCAACACAACAGTTATATGAACAGTTTCCAGCGACCCGGGGTCAGGAATGAACATCAGAACAGGATCAAAACCAACCTATTTGATTATTCTATAGGTTGCTGCATGGGGTAGTTTTTGGTGCTCATTTCAGATCTATTGATAATAGGAACTGCATTACAATTCTTCCTTGGATTTCTTAAAGGTCAGGAAAGCTCACTGACCTAAAATGACCCTGGTAAACATTTTTAAGGCACATTCTGTGTAAACGTAATCCTTGGTGCTTATTCAAATGTGAACAGCATAGCAGTCTAACATGATTTTGTTCACCATGACCTTCGAAAGGTCGCACAAGTTCACTGACCTTAACTGAGCACCGGCGATCTTTTGCTTAGAACAGGTATATAGGTTCAAGGTGGTTGCATGAGAAGGTCGGGGGCACGTTGTACACCAACCTGGAGTTTGACCTTGTTTGACCTTATTTGACCAAAAAGGCCATGACTTAGGAAGCCCAGATTTTGACAGCTCAGTTCACGTACAGGTCAACACACCTTGCGACTTTGGTGCCGTTTACTCTCTTAGTTTCTGAGATCTCGGGACGGTCAATTTGACCCCATCCGAGCGAAGGATATTCAACCGTACACCCGGGCGCCTGTTAACGCGACCTGCGGAGTCGACCCCATGTTTCACGGCCGCGGAAAAAGGCAGCATTAAAAGTCTCAAACTTGCACTACCCTCGCTGGTCTCGCTTACCGCCACCCACAATGCGCAATGCACATCCGCGTCAGCGGAGTCGCTACACTTAAGAATTTCTGTAAAAGTTATTGCTTTCGTTCTGAGCCATTCACTGTAAGGTTGGCATCACCGAAGCTGCTTTTTGACAGTGGTTGCGACTTTTGGTACTGCACGCTACACTGATGCATGCCCTTTTCATTCAGAAAAATCTGGATCCACCCCAGGCTCAGCCCTGTTCTAGTCCCGGCATGCATATCAAAGCCCATTCGCTGCATCCCTCTTCGCGGCTTGTCATCGGAATGCAAAACAACTGAGAATAAGTCAAATGGTAGCAAGAGCAGTTTGAGGCCAAATCGGTATTTGCGAGTGGTCAGATCCATGTTTGAGATAAAAATATCGTTGGGAGTCCCTCTCCCACACACCGAAATTTGTTTAAAATGCCCTGTAGGACGTCGCCTGCAGTGGCGTTGCCAGAGGTATGGACCACCAGGGAGTGGTCAAATCGTTCAGCGGCTCTGGTTTCCATGGCTGCTGCAGTAATGCTTAAATAACATTGCAACTGGTGCAAACCAAAAGATTTCGTTCGCCAGGGTCCAAAAATGTCATATGTAAGCTGTGGTCGAACGTCAGAGTTGGCTTTTCAATACAGTCGAAATTTGGCTTTTCAATACAGTCGATGCACTGTATTGGGTTAGTGGCCTGTTACTCCCACAAAGCGGCAGCACGAGCCCCTTTGGTTTAACAGTTACATAGTAGACCACATAGGATTTCGTTGTACGCGACGTGATGTAGCCTCGTATGGTATGACTGAATACAGTGGTCCCCCAACGCCACCCGTCGTCGACCCAGGGCGGTACACACTCTGACGTACTACGGACTGACGGCGGCGGCGGCCACGATGGGTGAAAACCGATTCATCTCGTTCGCCCTCTCGGGACTGGTGGAGATACCATCCACCATCGCCCTCGCCTGGATGTTGGACAAGTGAGTGCTGGGTGACATGGAAGCGTAGACACTACATTGAAGATTTAGACTCAGGTTCTTGTTAGGTATTTTTATTCTTTACACATTACGAGTGCTACATTGCTGCGTTATTGCGGTGTCAGGACTAATGTCATGATTCGAGTTACCCTTCTCTGTACTTGCCGAGGTTGACATCTGCTGTTTACTGGACCTCACGCTGACTCGCCATCGCATGAGCAGGTCGAAGACGCGCGGCCGATTGTCCCGGCAGGCACAGACACGTCCGTGGCCGGTAGCCAAAACGGCTACTCGCTCCAGTTTCCCGTCCTATTGTCGTGGTGTCCTATGCTGCTCGTCCTATTGCCGTGGTGTTCTGCGCTGCTCGTCCTAATGCCGTGGTGTCCTGCGCTGCTCGTTTTCTACAGCAGCGGCTGATTCATTCTTTTGGGTATCGCAAGCCCGAAGGGGCAGTGCTCATAAAATCATCGTGCTAGTTGGTGCTGAGCATCCTGCGTGAGCTTGTGACGTTTAATTCGCGATGCGCTCGAAAACTGCTATTATCTTGAACTCTGCTCTCTTCCTGTGTATGCCATAACAATGCAGGTACGCGTTTGCAGTGTATAGCCAGTTCATTGGATGGGAAACACATGGGAGATACTAGTTGAAATAAGCTGCATAGGCTGACTTATAATGACCCCAGTAGATTCGTTTCAGGTCGTTCATGAAAGAGGTTACACAGGAAATGGGGGGAGGGGGTGATAGACCTTAACGGAAGCGCAAAAAGGGATGGAGGCGAATGTCTTGGACAGCGCAACAGTACGCTCGGATGTGACAGAAAGTCACCCTAAAATCAGTATAAACAACTTAAGCCCTGTAACCCAGATGCCGTTGACTTTCTTGGCAAGGAAACGCACCTGTTAAATGCTTCTTATGTCTAGCTCAATTAGGAGTAAAAATGCCAGTTTTTTGGACGTTGCGGTTAACACAGAGGACGTGGTTGACCCAGCGTAAACAGTGTAATACCAGAGAAAGGGAGCATGAGTTAAAAGATGGTCGCAAATGCGTAACGTAATTTATGAATGACACTTAAGCGGTATGACAGAGGCTGCGGTCTCTGCCGCAGACTGGGACGTCGGTACTCGATCAGCGGCATGATGCTGGCCGGAGGCATCAGCTGTGTCCTCATCATGCTGCTGCCTGACTCCTACATTGACGACGAGGGAGGCAGGCTGACGCTCAGTCTGATAGGTCAGTTAGTCCTGCCGTACACTGTGAATAGGTGACTGAGTCTTATAGGTCGTCCACCCCTGGACTGTCCTGATGGGGCAGGTCTAACATTCAGTCTGGTAGGTCGACCAACCTTGGCCTTTCCTGATAGGACAGGTCTGACACTAAATCTGATTGCTCATTTTGACCCGTCATGTCATGACTGTGAGAGGTATATACAGTGTTTCCACAATCTGCGATTAGGTAGAATCGTGGGTCTCTTTTGTGCGGCCGTGCGTTTGCTGGTGCACAGTAAAATCAACACGGAAACCTGGATGCGATTAATCGGTACCCTGCTCATCCCAGTCGTCCTGGTTTGCAGGGAAGCTGTGCATAGCTGCGACGTTCAATGCGATCTACATATTCACCGGCGAGATATTCCCGACCTCGATCCGCAGTACAGCCTTCGGCATCATCAACGTGTGCGGGCGGACGGCTGGGATAGTCTACCCCTTCGCAGCACTGCTGGTGCGTGATTTTTGTAATTTGTGTGTCCGGGGTAATTGACTTGTTCTGTGATCATTTCGTCAGTCAGATAAGGACATAAGGACATCTGGCAACAAAGAGGCCCATATAAGTTGGCCCACCCCAAGTTCCACTCACATTCTGGAGACTAATCCTACCAACTGACCTGCCTGAAGTTAACTATTAATGCGATCTTTAGACTGATAGCACTTGTCCAAGCGATTTATAGGTGTTGCCAAAGAGGGAGTGTCTAAACTTCGTTTGATAGTCCATTCTAATGATTCACTACTCCTTGACTAAATGGCATCTACCCCATCATAGTTTTATTCCTACACTTTACATAATAAAACTGGCTTCCTCTAAGTATCGGCCTGACCTCCAGTGCTACATGTAGGTGTACCTCTTCTATCCCTTCCATAACCTTGAATACCTCTATGAGATCCCCTCTAAGCCTGCGATACTTCAGTGAATTCAAACCCAAGGTTTTAAGCATATCTTTATATTCTAAGTCGCCAATCCCATTTATATCCTAGTTTCTTTTTGTTGTACTCTTTCAAGCCTATCTTTATTTTTTGGATGCGTTAAGGCTTAGCCTGTACACAATATTCTAGGTGTGGTCTGACAAGTTAAGCACAGTTTTTGGCAACATTACTACTCTTGCAATTTATTTACATTCATTACTACTGCAATTTATTTATTTGCAATGCATTACTGCTCTCGCAATTTACATCCCTGTTATCAAATCCCAGTATCAAAAGTGCCTTGCCCCTAGCAGCAACGCATTACGTTTCGGGCTAAAAATCCCTAGAAATAACAATCTCAAGTCCTTTTCTCCCCGATCTGGTCTAATCCCAGCCTACGACTTTATAGCTGTTTCGCTGTGTGCCAAAACCACCCACGTGCATCATTTCACACTTATCAAAACTGGATGACATCTGCCACGGAGTAAACCATTGCACTAGCATATCAAAGTTAAGTTGGATTTGGTCAATCTGGTCGGTATTTCTCGGCCCCCACACCAATTCAACATCGTCAGCAAATTTTAGCGCATTACTCTCTAATTCTTTCTCGTTATTATTCACAAAAGTGATGAAAAGTGAAGGGCCCAACGCCGACCCCTATGGAGCCTACTTTCTACTAGCTTTCACTAACATTTTGTACCACTTAGCACTACTCTCGGTTTCCTGTCCAGCAGGGAAACCCTTAACCAGTCAAGATAATTTCGCTCAATGCCATGCAATTCTATCTGACAAGCCAGACATTGGTGTGGCACTTTATCAAACGCCTTACTAAAATCTAGATAAGCAATATCTAAATCATTGCCTTCAACTATCTGACTAGCATTGTGCTGCATTATATGAAGAATATATGTCAAACAGGACGTACCAGCAAGTGCGACTGAATACTAGTCTTAATGGATTTGCCTAAGATCTCACATATTAGTGCGGTTAGACTGACAGGCCTGCTGTTGCTACTACCGTTCAGTCCCTCCTCAAATATCAGTACTACATTGGCATTACACCAGTTCTCGGACACTACTGAGACACTCAATGACCTTTTTAATTTTTAACATAAGTGAATAAGCTAAAGTAATAGTGTATTAATTCAGCCCTCTACCATATATCTGATCTGGTTCGACTGATTGATTAAGCTTGACATCTGTCAAGCTGTCCCTTGCCATACCCTCCGTCACCGTAAAATATACGGAACTACCTTCATTCGGACCTCACTGTCTCAATTTTGAGTTCCTTATACTCATTTGACACCCTGGGCAATGCTTCTGTCTTACTGAACTCGAAACAATCCAACAAAAACAAAATTTGGAGAATTAAACAAGCATGGTTATAAGCTTCACAAGCGCGATAAAGAAGTGGTTACACGGCATAGACCATTGGCCTTGGATGATCTCATATGACATTGTGTAGCGAAGTAATCGCATTCTGCGTCCAAAACTACCTATGAACGCTGTCTGTTTTGAGCCCAGCGTATGTTTGCAGAAAGTACCCATAGAGGTAGATCATGACTTGGGTCAAAGTCATGTGCTCTATGGTCATATGTTGGTTGTGCATGTGAGCTAGTACTCTTTTCTTCATGTACAAACGCGAAAATTACACAAAATGCGTGCACATTTGCTGCCGTTACTGTTAAGACAATGGTTAAGGTTTACACCAATAACAAAATTCGCTTGAGTTTAAGTCACTAATTCCGCCTGCTTCGAAAACCTGAAATAAACAAACTGGATGTATTGTCATGCTCTATTACTATAGCAAACAAGGCAAATGCCCCACAAAAAGTATTTTGTGGCCAGAGTTTTTAAGAGGTTAACCTCTTTGACCTGACCGAGGTCACTGATATTGGTAGATCAAAGCTTCAAGTTTGCAAGAAAGATGTCACACGGATAGATAAACAGGTTTCACACAGATACACTTTTCATGCAAGCGCTTGTTTTTACCTGTGCCTGATAAACCGCAGGGGGAAAGTCAGCCTCCCCTCCTGGCCCGGCACCGACTGAGAAGCCATGCACTCCTTACAGTAACTTTTCCCACTGCATTTACAGGATACTGTGAAGAGAGATCTTCACTTCTTCATCTTCGGAGTGCTGATCATAACATCAGCGCTTCTGAGCCTGCTGCTGCCGGAAACAGTGGGGAAGCCGCTGCCCAAGACAGTTGAGGAAATGGTCGGAAAAGACGTCGAAATACATGAAGCCTTGCAGTTTGACAAATTGTTGGGCGATTATGGCAGCAATAGCGATACTGTTAAAGCAAATCAAGGATGAACAGAAACGTTGGGTCTTTTGACACATGTGCCATATTTGGGTGCACTTTAAACGATTATGTTGCATCGCCTTTCAGTCAGCTATTGTCAGTCATGTGTTCAGATGCCTGTTGTGATCCGTCATCTGTGATTCACTAATTAATGTGTGGTGTTACAGTTTCTCCCTGACTTGAAATGAAACCTGTGGATGTGCGGTAGGTCTACATGCTATTTACTTTCCTCGTCAAGTTCCTTCAAATTATGTATTTAAGTGACGCCTTACGATCTCAACAAATCGCTTAAGGTGCTTCAGTGGTGCATCTCCGTGCAATTCAAAACAGCAACCAAACGTCATTAAGCGTCACTCATGCACTAAGCCCTATGCCCTAACCACTGGAATCTTCAGCATCACCAGCAAATGATACTTGAGTGGAAATGAGCATTCTGAAACGAGAATGCCTATGATGTTCATGAATCAGTTCACTTTATTTGTCTTTGTTTTGCGTGACCTTACATATTTATATCCATATTACGACGATCTGTAATCCATATTCACCTCCAAGTGACAAGTCAGGCAGTTCCAGATTTCATCGGTATCGGAAAAGACTCTTTTCACCCGTGCGTAAGGGCCCCTTCCAGCAAAAGAGGGGGGGGGGGACTTAACTAAAAGTATCGTCCGCAAGGGCACCGGCCCTGCCGGGTGTAGGGATCAGTGGACCCCCGGCCTTAGCTTTTTAGTTTTATTTGGCCTGCGGTGCTCCTTTGTTTCTACAGTAGCGATGAGGAACCATGGGTAATAAGGGGGCTGCCTTTCGGATTAATTTTTCAAGTCAGCAACGCATACCTTTAACCCGACTGCGTGTCGCTGTGATTCCCTGCTGGGAAGTCGGCCAGCTGGGCGTCAGCGTCAGTCATCTTGGCTAGGAATCACGCGATGATGTGACGGACGTTGACGCGGAAGCCGCCTGGTGCTGAGCCTGTCTCTTCCAGCTCGGCGGGCCCGTGTCCCAGCCCATCATCAGTGGGCCTAGTTAGCTCCTGTGAGCAGAAGTATTGGCCTCACAGATTCATGGCTGTCGACTCCCGTGGCAACTCCTTTGTCGCACCGGCCGGCGAGCAGCGCACTGGTATCCAAAGCCGTGCCGCTGTTCAGTGACCGATCCCTCGTCGGGCTTCGTAATGGGCGGGGCATCGGAGCGCTGAAACGTACAGTACACTCATCGATAACCGACTCCCATTCGAACCCTCAAACGCCGGTGGTACTGCTCAGCATTGATGGTCGAGATAGAGGCATGCAGTCTGAAGGCTAAAGGCACGCTTTCGTTTGGCGGGCCCAGCGCAGATTTGAGAACGCATGCACCAAAAGCATACCGAAACGCACGGTACAGCAACGGCAGGAACTGAGACGCCTTGGCAGGAGCCTTCGACGGACGTGTCGAGCGCGCAAACCTTGACACTGACAAGTTGTACGCTTTTAAAGACATGGCCGCTGGGCATTTTAGCATCCTATTAATATCCACGCTTGGGACTCTAAACACGACTGGCGCAACGACGCCCTAGCAAGAGAGTACTGCACCGCCGCCTGTGTCGGTGAGCCGTGGCGCATTATCGCCCTGCTGTGGCCATGACTCACCCAGTTACCGCCTCAGCCCACCCGGCGCAGGAAACGCGCTATCACGGACAACTCCCCCCCTCCCCCTCCTCCGCTCCTTCCCACACCCACTCCAGAGATGCCAGGGAAAGAAGAACAAGGGCGGGGGGGGGGGGGGGAGCATGCGTGCAGGAGTCCAAGCGGTCCAGTAGTATTGGTCGCGCTATTAAACATTACCGCATCAGTTCTAAAAATGTATCAAATGCGACACCATGGCCCACGACGACGTGGCTTCTCTTGGTCAATAGGAGCATCTATTGCTCTAAACTCCTTCTTTGAACAAGCTTGCAAGCTTTTTCTGGCCGCCACTGTCGACCAAGGGGTCATAACGCCGACTTCATCTTCGATGTTATTGCCACCAACAGAGGGATTGGATGACGTAACGCTGAAGTCCGTTTTCGACCAGCCCCATTTTCCGTTTTTGGTTTTTGGTGAGTTTGGCTATTATAACTCGACGGGTTGTGGTGGTTCTGCCAACGGTAGGGCTAGAAGGCTAGAGCATCCCCTTATCCTGGTCATCTCTAGAAATATATCTATGGATCCTAGATATCCTAGATAGATGAATTTCTATCTAGATGGATAGAACCCTTAATCCTTAGAGCATCCCGTAGAGTAGAAAGCATAAAGCGCCAAGGGAATGTTCCACATCTGAGGACGTTGCAGCAAGCATCAGACATGGTGAAACAAGCTCACTTATAACTTTTGGTATGCCTTTTAAGTGGAACAGACTGCTCTAGACAGCGCAATTCTGTGTTAAACATACTCCTCAACGCGTCATGGATTGATAGCGTCATCGTGCCTTCCACAACATTGATTAAAGCTAACTGACAGCTGTTATATCTGGAAATGGTGTTTATGGATCAGATATGAACGCCTCGATAATTATATTATTTTTGGCCTTGATCGCCGTATGGCTTATGGAATGCCAGGATTGAGGTGGTGTTGTTTAGCCGCCATGAATACCGACGTAATTTTGAAATACTCTTTCCGATAAACCTTTTCCTATTTTCGCGGGCGTATAGCTAAAAAAATATAGGGGCTTAGTTCTCAAGAAGGACTAGATGGTGAACAGCGCCGAAAGACCTTCAACAACGCCATTTCAGGTCAAAATCCCACATAATTGTGGAACTCTCCCTTTGACAGGAAATACTGTGCATGTAAATTAACGGACGCCTTACCCATTTGACCCAATAATCTACCCTTTCATATCCCCGACTTGAGCCTCACTTCACCCCTCACCTGCATAGCCGGCCAGGTCTATTATCATATCTGGAAGGACATACCTTGAACCTGATTTGGTCCTTGAACCTTGAGCCACATACTATACCTTACACCTGATTTGCATAGACTCTTGAGTCAGCCGTGGTCCCACATTGAGAATGCGCCGGCGCCCGAACGCTGCGCCTGAATGCATGTAAATGAAGAGCTCAGCAGGGCTGTATAAAACGCAGCAGCCTGGGGCCTATTACAGCGACATTCAAAGACGGTGTTGGTGGCGACAGACGGACACGAGTCTTTCCCCATCACAGTGGCCAATGCTCGCAATGGCGGCTGTCTGCCACTGGTTTCCTTCGGAGCGCCTCATGCTCGTCGTGATGGGTATACTCCTGTGGATTTAACCAGGGGTAATACACCCAGCCACTGACAAGCAATTACGCTTACCCTGCGATCCCGCCTACCGGATCTGATTGTTCTGCGCCCACCTCAGGGCGGCCAGGCTAGTGCATTAGTCGCTGGAACACGGTCTTGTATGTGCGCTTTGCGCTGCACCGGAGTTGAGCAGATGGAGCTAGTGTGTCTTGTGTGATGGCGCCATCTATTGTTATACTGGCCCGACACTGAAGTAATGCGTTGTACGTACTTTTCTGGCTTCCGAAACTGTGTAATGACGCGTGCTATCACAGTTCAGGCCGGTTAGCCGGTTGGAATAAATAGAGGCATCGAGTGAGGCCAAACAGCACTTCGCACGCCAACCAGCCGGCTGCTCTGATAGTGCTGCTCTTATTTCTTGACGGGCCGCGCTTACGTCGACGCTCCAAGAATGGCATGCATAAGTGGTTAATGTATTCGCGCGACATGTGTGGTTGCGGCTACACCTGCTTTACTTGCATCGATATGACTTCTCCTTTCCTCGTCTAACAGACGTCCGTTTCGGCGACTCAACACACCACCTTCTCTTGGCATTGTCCATCCGCGGAGACACGCAGACCAGCACTCTTCGGCTTAAGAAGCACTCCCAATTTTCTGACGCCTTGATAGTTGGCGGTTTCAATGGCATGCTGAGAGATTTTATCAATTGGATTATATGCGATCTTGCATCCGTTTTCTAACGCATAGTTTGTGCTAAGTACAAGAGGCCCAGAGCCGCAGGCTGTAAGAATATTGACACAAAGACGGGGCACTGCACTACAAAAACACGTATTGCGTGGTTTCCGATGTAAGGTGGCAATTGCCACAGTCGTTAGCGTTTCGCGACCGTCATTTCACGGTCTGCTTCCCAGCGCTGTGCATAGCTGTATGAGGTGCACCATGACTTTGCACTGCATGATTATTGTGAAACGGCGTGTTCCGGCGGCGCGGCGCCCTGCAACCATCGGAAACACCACGCCCACGACCTGCTATCACTAATCAGGGGCGCGGTTCACCCGACCAGTACAGCCCAGTGAGCAGCCCTCCGCTCCTGCCTGCCCTCGACGCCGCCAGCTGCCGAGTCTCGTGGTACCGGGCTAGCACCAGGAGCGACCCTCCCCTCCTGCCTGCCCTCGACGCCGCCAGCTGCCGAGTCTCGTGGTACCGGGCGAGCGCCAGGAGCGACCGGTACAGCCCAGCCAGCAACCCTCCCCTCCTGCCTGCCCTCGACGCCGCCAGCTGCCGAGGCTCATGGTACCTGGGCGAGCGCCAGGAGCGACCGGTACAGCCCAGTCAGCAACCCTCCCCTCCTGCCTGCCCTCGGCGAACCAATGTTGATATTCGTGGGGCGAGAGCAGTTTTTCTTAGATAGACCAAGGAAACCGTATTCGATACTAGCGCCACCTATTTTACGCACTGGGAGCATCATCCAACACGCCTCAAAGCTGCCACTTTCCACCCTATTGGCACTTGGTGGATTAAGTATGAAATAGATATCATGAAGAGCACCAGCAAAGCATTGCCAAACAGCTTTTAAGCTGATTTGTTTAGTAAGAAACATTAATTTTTGGTAAAACCCAAAACTTTGCAGTTATGAGAACGCTCTACCAGACCGGGTTAGGTTCAAGTTTGTTGTTGCTAACACATCACTGTGATGTTGATTTGCAATTTATGTGCTTTTGCGTGGGATATATGGGTTTATTCGTTTTGTTTTGCCGGTACTGAAACATTTCTTTCGAAAAATTACTTGAAGCATGCCGAAAGCTAAACGGTCGCGCAGAAAACATTTTGCGATAGAGGCCACCCGGCTCCACTGTCCCAACACCAGCTGACGACTACGGGAAGGCCTTAAGCTACACCAGGTGGCTGAGCGAATCGAAAAAGAGTATCACTAATATCATCTTCAAGTCTGCGGCGGTAGAAATTAGGTAACTGTGGACCAACGAAGCGACC